TGTATGTGAGTGTGTGTATATGTATATTTATGTGTGTATGTGTGTGTGAGTGTGTGTATGTGTGTGCATATGTGTATGAGTGTTTGTGTATATTTATGTGTGTTTATGTGTGTGTGTATATGCATGTGCGTGCAGTGTGCACATGCGTGTGCATTTAGAGGTCAGAAGAGGACACCCGCTCTGCCTGGAGCTGGAGATAGCGGCAATTATTGTGAGTCATTACACGTGGGTGCTGGGACCAGAACTCAGGGCCTCTGAAAGGGCAGCTGAGCCGCCTCTCCAGCCCTTTCTTAATGGTTTTTTTTGTATTTTCTTCTTCCTGGGGATTGATGTCTGTAGGTGTGAGGCTCCTTTAATTTCCCCGGCTGGACTCCACAGAACTTTTTAAAACTGTGAATTGCCTTCCTTTATCAGTCGGGGAGAAATCCTTAGCTGTGTACCTCCGAGCGCAGCCTCTGCCGTGCTTTCTTCTCTGTCCTCATTAGCTAGATTAATTAGTCTTGCTCACTCCCATCATTTGCATCTTCTTGACTTTGCTCCACAGTCTCTGTGCTGCGACTACTCTGGATAATTTCTTGAGATCCATCTCCCAGCTCATTAATTGGCTTCAGCTGGGTCTAATATGCTATTAAACCTATACACCGAGATGTTTTTTATTTTATTTTAATTATGTTTTTATTTCCAGAAGTTGTGTTTGGCTCCCAAATGAATCTGATTGTTTTTGTGTTTTCCTTTCTACCCGTCTCCCTTTGACTATGTCATACGTCCATCCCGCTCTGCGTTGTCTTGTACATCGAAAGACTGAGCCTTGTGCGAGGTGGAAGGACCCCCTGAATCCAGAGCCAGACTACTGCGAAGGACAGGCTGGTCTCAACACCTCTCTCACTACTCCGCCCTGCCCCCTGTTTTCCTTCTTTCTCCCATGTCACTTTTTTTTTTTTTTTTGAAAACATGATTCATCTCATGGATTGAGAAAGAAACCAAATGCAGAGTCTCTCTCCCAGCACCCAGGGCCTTCCCCGCCGGCAGCCAGGGCTATTAGGATCTGTAGAGACTTCCAGATATATTTTATGTGTAGCCAAGCAAATACACATTTAAAAATTCATTCTCCCTGTAACACAAACGGTAGCATGCTACATATATTGTTCTGCACTTGCTTTTTAATAAAAAATATGTTTCTGGTTATGAAAGAAATACATGCTCATTTTGAATAACATCAATTCCCAAGTGTACACATGTAGAAAATGAAAGTCTCCCTGGAATTCATTCCCTAGAGATTACATCTATTTTGCCTCTATAAATATATATTTACATAAATGGGCTTATGCAACAGACAATGTTTTCTAACCTATTTTCCCCTTCCCTCCCAATAACACATCACAACATCACTGCATGACTCTTTCCATGGCTCCACGTAAGGCTGGGGCCGTGGAATCAGGGAGAATTCAGTTCCAACATTAACTGCACAGCTCAGTAGCTTAGAACTTGTTACAGCTGATTGAAGCCTCACGTTCCTCATCTGTGACGTGTCCACTTCCTCATGGTCTGGGATGGTAGTGAGGTCGTGAAGATTGTGTGCCCACCTTCCAGGTCCCAGGAAAAGGTCATCTTTTAATGACTTCCTCCCCTGATTAATGCTCGCCTAGAATTTATAGTCTGGATGTGTTATAATGTATTAACAATGGCATGTTAGTAGATGCTGGTGTCTTTTTACAAATGTTAGTCCTGTAAGCACACTGTTCCTGTGAATTTTCTTGGCTGGGTTGGATTACTGGGTCCTCTGAATTCTAATCTCTGGACCTTCTATTTTTTTCTCCAAGGAGGAGGCGAGAGTGTCCTGCGGGCTGAAACGAGTGTACTACGTAGGTGCTTCTTCTTCATCGTTGTCCTTCACCTTGCTTTCCTCTGGGGTGTGGGTGGACCAGCCCTCCTCAGCAAAGTCTCTCTGAGCCCTCTCTCCTGCCTTCTCCCCTTACTTCTGATGCTAAAGCTTAGACTTCCCATTCCTCTCAGACCCTGCAGCCCAACCCCAACCCCTCCCAACTCACTTCCAGTGTATTTCCTGTGATTTGCTACATATTTAAAAAGAATTAAAATGCACGTTTGAAAAAGAGAGAAGAGTCCTGGGCTGGAGAGATGGCTCAGTGGTTAAGAGCACTGACTGCACTTCCAGAGGTCCTGAGTTCAAATCCCAGCAACCACATGGTGGCTCACAACCATCTGTAATGAGATCTGATGCCCTCTTCTGGTGTGTCTGAAGACAGCTACAGTGTATTCATATATAATAAATAAATAAATCTTTAAAAAAAAAAAAAAAAAGAAAAAAAGAAAAAGAGAGAAGAGTCCAAAGGAAGCAAGGAGAGGAAGGAATTGAAAATCTTATACGACAACCCTTCACCCTCTATCTACCAATCGTGAAACGGCAGAGCTTCTGGGCTCCAAAGGAACAGAGGCTCCAGGCAGTAGTGGTGAAAGGGAGCAACGTGTTAGCAGCCTTCAAACTACTCGTCACCTTTAAATAGCCATAAAGAACTTTCTCTCAGGGACAATACCTGGGTGATAGGAGCTTTAGCTTCACAGAGAGTCCCCGGAAGAGACAGGTTTGAGCAGGAGGGTGTGGAGTGAAGACAGGTGTTCTTCCTGATGACAGTGCAGGGGTCCTCGTGTAGAGCCTGTTGATAGCTAAGGGGCTGGGAGCTAGAGGGGAAGTGAGAGGCTCGGCACAAAGACAGGTGGCTTCATTCCTGGGACAGACACTGGCCAGACAACAGACACTAAGTGAGCCCTACTCTGTGCCAGGCTTTTGTGGATAATAGGAGGTGTAGTCCTGACCCTGTGTTTATTAAGACCCCTGACTGGTGGAAGTCAGAGACAGTGAACAGTTGAAGCCAAGGCAGGAACGATTTTGGACAGAGCCTTGACCTGCTCTCTCCCAGCAGGTCTGCTCTGGGTCATGGATCAAGCTTCTGGGAGCTGTCAGCAGCAGGCACCCGGGACAAATTGAACCTCTGGACGAGTTGGAGGCCAACTCAGCCAGGAGGAAGAGAAGGCCCATGACTGCTCACCCTGCCCCTCGTCAGGTACAAAGCTGGCTTCCTTGCTTAGGGGCTAGTGATTAATCGTGCCTCCATGGGCACCTTCTGCCTGATGTCACTGAGGCCCAGGATGGGATGACTTGGCCAAGGTCACAAAGAGATAGGTTCCCTCCATTTGGATGCTGGCCTGGGTTCTGTGGATGCTTTTTCTACTAGATTTGGGAGCTTAGGGGAGTAGGGGAATGGTCTTCCTCCATTATGTATAGAAAGGCTCTATCTACGGTGATCCCAGCTGACCCTGCCACATCAGGGTTTCCAGCCATCCACTAGAATGGGACCATGGGGTGCTCTTACATGCTTCCTTTGCTCCAAAGCTCCTTAGAGATCTCTCCATAGGGGCTGAGTGGCCATAGATGAATGGAGTGCCCCATCCCCGTGCACACACAAGGCAGCCTTGGCTGGAGTGGGCTTCTCCACCATGCTCATCTCTCTCTCTCTGCAGACTGACCCTTCAGAAACTGAGATTGTGGAACCTCTTCAGCAGAGGGCAGAGGACCCAGGTGATAAGCCACAGAGCCGGGGGGAGGAGTCTCACCCTGCCCCTCACTTCTGGGATCTTTTTCTTTACCCTATCAGCCCAAAGTTCTTCTCCAAAGGAACGAGGGTCTCAGGGCCATGAAGGGGAATTCCCCCATCCTTGTCAATTTGCTCCTCCGCATGTTCCTTGTTGTCCCCTGGGATTGCATGATACATTCTCTCTACCCTAGGTGAACTGGAGACTATGCCTCTGGATGATGGAGTGCGATCCTCTGTGGTCCATGCAATGAAGGAGGTACTGTGGACTCGGTAAGGCTTTCTTCCCTACCTCCTGTCTGTGTAGCTTCGGGCCAGGCCAATTTGAGAGAGAGAGAGAGAGAGAGAGAGAGAGAGAGAGAGAGAGAGAGAGGAGAGAGACAGAGAGAGAGGAGAGAGACAGAGACAGAGAAGGACTGAGAATGTGTGTGTCTAAACCTGATATCGGGGTGGTTACTGACCCCCACATATTGGGGTGGTTACTGACCCCCACAGCCAGTGGTGAGCTGAAATGTGAACCTGGATGTCTGTAATACATGGCTTCAGTTACAGTGCGAGTCTAGGCTGACAGGGTCTCAGAGATCTGAGGGTTCTCACTGAAAGACGGTGAAACCAAGCTCAGAGAAGGCAAAGTCAGCAGTAGATCAGGCTCATGTCTGCCCTGCCCTTGGTTCATCTTTTACTGTACCCACCTCAGTTTGGTTCTTTTCTCTGGTTGATTCCTTAACTCCCCAACCCCAGGCTTGATCCTCTCCACACAGAGTCAACTGTCTAGCAGGACCAAGCAGCCTGATTTTGACACTTGCTTTGCCACAGGTCCATTGGGTAGCCTTAGGGTGAGTCCTGAACTCTGAGCTCTCCCTAGGTAAATGGAAGACATACCTTATCTTCCTCCCAGAGCAGGGGTGGGAGTCAACAGGTCTGTGGGGGGAACACCCATAAAGAAAGGGGATGGCCCAGCCCCTGTCTCCTGCCCCTACATCTCAGACAAAGTGAATAGAGAGCTTTCCTGCTCAGGGCTAGCTTGTTCCCACAGTGCCCAGGAGCTTCCCGACCTGGCGTTGAGGGAAGAAGAGGTAGAGGGTATTGCAGAGGGCATTGAGGAGGCCCTCTTCCAACTGACCCAAGACATCAACCTCCGCTACAAGAACAAGTACCGCAGTCTGCTCTTCAACCTGAGAGATCCCCGAAATGTTGTGAGCTGGGGTGGGGGGAGGGAGGGAGAGGAGGTTGAGCTGGCCCAGCCCTCTATTGGGGATACCAGGAGCAGACAGAAAGTTGGAGTGGGCGTTCTCAGGGTCGAATGGTGCACTCTCTTCCCCCACAGGACCTGTTTCTCAAAGTGGCCCACTGTGATGTCACCCCTAAGGACCTGGTGCAGATGAGCTCAATCCAGCTGGCCCCCAAGGAGCTGTCCCGCTGGCGGGACCAGGAAGAGAGAAGGGTGAGAACTTGTAGACAAATCACAGGAAGGGGGAGGGCAGGGGAAGACAGAACGGAGGAAGCAGGACAGGAGGACAATCAGGACTGTGAAGGAGCTGGAAAAACAGAAATCAAGCTAGGGGAGTCTTCCAGGACAAAGGTAGGAAGAGAGCCCACACTCGTGTTTCTCTGTGGAGCTGGGCTGTGTGGGCGTAGGAGGCCTTCTGTGAGTAAGTTCCCAGTGCTCTTCCTTCCATCCCAACCTCAGGTTTGGAAAAGGGGCCCCACAACTCCACCCTCCTCAGTCAAGTCCTCCTGTGCCCTGCTGGTGGGCCTGTGCATGGAACTCTTGAGAGTAGGGAAGGCATAACACTGAGCTGGCTGTTGGGAACGCTGATCCAATGCTTGGTGGCCAGAGGCAGTGGTCCGGTGCTGAGGTGTGTAGGATGCTAAGGTGCTGTTCTGGGAGAGCTAATAACCCAAGTCCAGCCATGGTATCCATCCATTCAGTTGAGTTTCTGTCCAGGCACGGCGGTCTCATAAGATAGGAGCGGCTGTGTAGTTTAGGGGTCACTGAAGCCTCTTCGTAACAGCCATTAAGAATTCCAGGGTGGGGGTGGGGTGGTAGAGAGATGGCTCAGCGGTTAAGAGCACTGGCTGCTCTTCTAGAGGTCCCGAGTTCAATTCCCAGCAACCATATGGTGGCTCACAACCATTTGTAATGGGATCTGATGCCCTCTTCTGGCACACAGATGTATATGCAGATAGAACACTCATACATAATATAAATAAATCTTTAAAAAAAGAAAAGAATTCTCAGAAGAGACCAGGAGGGGAGAATGGGGGTAGGGACTGTGTAAGGGAGGACTGAAAGAAAGGGGGCAGTGATCAGGATGTAAAATGAATGAATGAATGAATGAATGAATGGGGAAGAAAGAATTTCAGGGTGGGAGCAGGGAAGGAAGCTCAGAGGGTAGAGAGCTTGCCACACCAGCATGAGACTGAGCCCCCGAATTGATGTAAAAAGTCAGCGTGGTGGCATGTGTTTGCCGTCCCAGTGTTGGCTGGGGAGGTGGAGACAGGCAAGCCTAGCCCAATGAAAGCCCTGGCCTCAAAAAGTAAGGTGATGACTCCTGAGGAAGGCCATCGAAGATCAATCTCTGGCTCCCACATGCATTTGTACACACAAGTACATGCAGCTAGCCATCCACTAACGTGCATACCCACACATGTGCATGTGTACACGGCAAGAATTTCAAGTTAATGCACACAGCCTGACCAAGTGTGAGCCTTTCTGAATACAGAGCCCAGTGTGTCGTCATCATGGAGTCTGTCTGCCTGGGTCTGGGGGTGCAGGGCCCCTGTCTTCTGCACCATTAGCAAAGTAAGAGTGGTGGCTGCTCTTCCAAAGGACCCAGGTTCAAGCGCCAGCTCTCACACGGCAGCTTACAACTGTAGGTAATTCCAGTTCCAAGAGAGACGACACCCTCACATAGACATACATGGAGGCAGAACACCCATATAAATAAAAATTAAAAAAAATTTGCTTTAAAAAAACAAAACAGAAAAGAAACAGAGAGACAGGCCTCCAAGTCAGGTGACTTTGCTTGACAGTGACAGCTAGCTAGCCATTCTTATGAACCTCGAGCCGGGCTGAGCCCTCCTCATGTGTTGCTCAATACCTTGCTCTTAATCCCCAGAGAATAGATAAACTGAGGTTCAGGGCAACTAAGTGCTGGCCCAAAGTCAATCTAATCCTTAAATCTTTATTAATGGCCCATCTGAGACTCAGCCTGCACACTCGTTCCGACACCACAGCCTCCCTGGGGACGGGTGGGTGGGGCAGCCAGAAGCATAGTTGACTTGGGTGAAGGCCAAGTGCGGCGACATTTATTGGAGGAGGCAGGACTTCAGTGGAACCTAGAAGGGTAAGGCTGAAGGGGGCTGGTTTCCTAAGTGAACAGAGAGAGGCTCAAAAATTAGGGGAACCCCCAAGGGAGGGGCCTTGAGAGAGGGAAGGGGGTGACTGGGTGCTCGGTGGCCAGAGGCCCCTGGCTGAGTTTCGCTTGGCTGCTGCAGGGCCTGGACATCATTGAGCAACAACAGAAGGAACTGTACAGACTCCCTGCCTCCAAACTGACTCACAAGGGCGAGGTAGAGATCCAGCGGGACTTGGACCAGATGCTGACCTTGGAAGACCTGATGGTAAGGGGGACCTGAGTTAGACACAGGTGCTCCTCACCCCGCTAACTATGGGGCCCTCAGCAAGGCCCTGAGCAAGGCCATTGCCTACTCTGTGGGACCTGTGTTCAAGGCATTAGGTCTGGCACTGGTCTCCCTTTTTTTTTACCCTGACTCCAGAACACTTACACCAGTGGCACTAAAGGCTTGTCATTGCAGTCACCCCAGGCACAGCCACTCGGGCTTTAGGCAAAAGGTTTTTCTAGATATGAGAGACAGAGGCCTGTTTTATCAGAGGGGTTATTTCCTTGGAGTTGTCACAGGCAGGGAATCACCCACCGCCTTGGGCAGTAAAGCCAGAAGCCCTCCTGACCTTGCACTGGAGGAGGCCCGGGATTTAGGCCTCCAACTGATGGGACAGCTGTATCCCCTGGTGGAGCAGCACCTTCTAATGGAGCACCTCCATCTTGCCCAGAGCCTGCTTAGTATGGTGGGTCATCTGTCCCAACTTGGTTAACCAGCACCTCAGTGTCCTATGGTCAGCAAGACCTTCCCCTTGTCCCCACATCCATCACTCTCAGAAGGCCACTCTCTGGCTTGGTTGGTGTCTCTGTGGATCAGCTGTCACGTGGTTCTGATTAGGAGATGGGTGGAGGGCTGCCAAGTCCCTTAGCTCATGTTCATCTGCTCAGTACAGATTTGTTGAGCCTTTCCTGGGTACCAGGGCCTGGGGGGAATGACAAGGGTTTGACAAGATAATACTTGGGGGTTTACCACCTCCCAACCCAAGCATTCAAGCCAAGAAGAATCACTGTCTGTGTAGAGAGGAGCCCTCGGGGGGTGCAGCTGCTCCCCAGCCCAAGCCAGGCACATTTCCTCAAGAGGCTGGATGTCAGCCTTGGAGAGGTGTCAGGAGACAGGATGAGAGGAGATGGCAGAGGAGAAGGAGAAGGTGACAGAGAAGAGCAGTCTTCGCTCTTACTGAGTACCTGCTGCGTGGCCCTCACAAACAGCACCTCATTTGAACACGGCGATACTGATACAGTTCGTGCTACTGCTGAGACCCAAACCACTGATGCAGCTCGTTGTAGCGGGCTGGGGCGGGGCAGGGACGTGCTCCTGGCAACGCTTTGAGATCTTTTCAAATCTTCCGAACGAAAAGGGGTTTCTATTGTGAGGGCGAAGGTGGTTAGATATTTACCCTCCTGGGATGGATCCTCTGCTTCTGACTTGACCCAAGGAAAAGATGCAAAAGTTAGGAAAACACTGTGTGCAAAATGCCTTCGGGGCTTCTTGCTAGTGACAGCTGGAGGTGACCTGAATGTCTAGCAACAGGCTACTGTTGTCTAGGAACTGCCACACAGTCGGCCCACGAGGGTCTAAAGAAGAGGGCAAATGCGTCTACTGCAGTGAATGGGATACAAAATGAGGGTGCAAAGAACACTTGATCCCAGCTATTATAGGAGGAGCCTCAGACCCTCTGCATAGAAAACTATGAAAGAACACCCAGTGTAACAACAGTTGTCTGAACAAATGGTGGGTTTTTAAAAAAATGTACAATTATTTATTTCCCAAGTTTCTTTACGAATGTTCAGTTTTTTGGAATATAAAAACATATTTAGAAAAATAAACCATGTTCTTGAGGCTCTCTATGTATAGAGGCCCCTGACCTTCCCGGCCACCTTGCCATCTGTCTCCTTTCCAGGGACCCATGGTGCCCAGAGAGTGCAGCCTACAGGCCCTGACAACCCCGCTGGAGGACACCACAGATTGGCACCAGCACCACCTCTGTGACTCTAACTGTCAAGTCTGCCCAGGTAGGGAGGAAGGCAGGAATGCTGACAGTGGTAGCCAGCCGGAGCTACAAGCAGGCATCAGCTGCCACATGGGTAGGTAGCCCAGTGGGAGCGCCCGTGCCACAGGTCACCATGGAATGAAGCTGCTCAAGGCTTGGTTCAAGTCCGGCTGAGGGCTGGCTTCTTCCTCCGCATACACATTTCAGTTCTTGCCTCTGCTCTTTGCAGATCAGAAATCCTCAATTAAACTGCCAGCCTTCTCTGGGGCCATCATGAACAGGGAGGAAAATGCCACCCAGAAAGCCCCAAGTCCAGCTCCTGTGTCCTCTTCAAGGATGCTCAAAGTTGGGGAGACACTTGCCAAGGAACCACAGGACAGGTATGGGACTGGTAGCTAATAGGTGAGCATCCTAGCAGCCTGGGTGGGAGAGGCCACTAGCTGGAGTAACAGCATCCACACACCGCAGGAGCTTGCTTCCCTTGTCTGTGAGCCTCTGTCTTTCTACCTGAAATGGAACTCACCCAGCTTCCCGGTTCCCTCCTGCTCAAGGCCCATGCTTGGATCAGTGTTCAGGTCTCTGCAATGAGAACACAGTACTGGCACTGCAAATGAAAGGGACCCTGGGGACATCCCAATGAATGACTCTGCTTGGCCCTGCCCTGTCCCTTCTTCTAGGCTCCAGATGCCTGCTGGACCCAAAAATGCCCTGCCCAGCCCTCCACTCTGGGAGGGCTCACTGGACATGTTTTCCATTAAGCACTTCCGGGCCAAGGCACAGCTGATCAAGGGACACAGCTGTCAGCTTATCCAGGTACTTACATCCCTAACACCCTCCTCAGCCCAGTTGGCTGTGCTAACTAAGCCCGAGGGCAGATGATACCCTAGCCTGATTCTGACACACACTCAGGCTAATAACTCTACCCCAAGACATAAGGAAAGAGAATCTCAGGGGGAGGAGCATCCTGGGACCCCCTCAGTTCACAGGAAGGTTTTAGGAGTGACTGCTGAGTAACTGTTAGTGAGCTAAAGAGTAAGTGAGGACCCATGGGACTTTGTCCAGGACAGGCCGTAGGCCTCTAGGGGGTAATTAGAGCTCTCTGGGGAGTCCCTGAGCCTTTGGATACACTGCCTGTCCTTCTCCTTCTCTGACTTTGGCCTGAGGTAATGAGAAATGAATCTGCCTAAGAGGGTGGGAAGCTGGGTGTTGACCAACCAACCACCTGCCCCCAGGCTCTGCCAGAGGTCATTCGCTCAGTAGGCCGCCTCCCTCCAAACCAAGTCTGGGACCTTCTAGATAGTATGGGCCCATCCAGGGCAAAGGTAAGCTGCCTGCTCTTAGGGCACCCTCTCCTCTACCCCTCTTGTCACCTCCTTCCCTCCTTATCTTGCTCACCAGTGACCCTCGGCAAGACACCCCCTTCCCTGCTTCTTCCTAGATGGCAGTTCTCAACCTGTGGATCACGACGGCTTTGGGGGTTGAATGACTCTTTCACAGGGTCAAACACGTCAGCTATCCTGCAGAAATATCAGATATTTACACTATGATTCATAACAATAGCAAAATTAAAGTCATGAAGTAGCAACGAAAATAATGTTATGGTTGGGGTCACCAGCTCTCAGAGGTCTGCTGGTCTGAGTGTGCCCGCAGGCCCAGAGGGTGACCTGCTCTTTTGCCACTTCCTCTGTGTCCTCCAGGACATCTGTGTGGTCAGACTGTGTCCCCACGGGTCTCGGGACATCCAGAACTACCGCCTGCTTTACTCCTACCTCAACAACAAGCAGTGCCACTGCCTGGCGACTGTGCAGCTTGTGAAAATGGTCCTGCTGCCCCTGCCTGCCTTTGAGCCTCTGCCAGCCAGGCTGCGCCCTATGGGGGGCCCAGGTGAGAACCAGTTACAATGGCCAAATAGAACAGCAAAAGTTGTAGCAGCCAAGAGGAACAGGTGTGTGCCTGCCACTGGACCAGCTAGGCCTGGCCTCAGGGCAGGGATCTGCCTAGGCATGGCCCTAGGAAATTACCTGTGGAAAAGGACTTTAGGGACTCACAAGCAGGGTGTGCCAGCCTGCTCTGAAGCAAAAAGCCTTAAGACTTTGCTGGGCTGCAGTTCCCAGTACAGGAGGCAGGTTGGCATGTTCTCCATTGGGCGGATCTGGGCAAAAGCCCAGCTTGTGTTGGGACATAGCTGCCAGCTTGTCCGGGCACACCTTTGTTCACAAGGACTCTCTCAATGATACATTCATCTCTCATTCATTCATTCATTCATTCATTCATTCTACAATAAGCCATTGCCTCAATTTATGGTAGGCTCAAAGATAGATGATACACCAACTCCAGGGACGGTGTTGATTGTCTTTATTAAGCCTTGAGGTCAAACCATCCACGGCCTTGCCTCTGCCTGATGACCAAGACTGAACACTCTGAGATAGGCTCATTTGCCTCCTTGCTTTCTCCCACCTCGGTGTCAGGAAGTTCTCATGACCAAACCTCCAGATCCACTACAACTTTTGCTGGTGTGTGTGTGTGTGTGTGTGTCTATGTTGACTTCCTCCAGGTCTTGAGACCCTCTTCTCCCTCTTTTCAGGTCTTGAAACTACTCACACGAGCCTGTTACTAGCTGTGCTGTTTCCTAAAGATGAGCTTCCAGGCAGAGCTTTGTCCAGCCCTGGGTCAAACAAGGTCCCAAAGACCGTGTCCTTCAGCAAAAAAGTGGAAAGAATACACTACTTACCAGAGGACAGGTGGTCAGAGGCCACCCCAAGAGGATCATCTCCTCATGAGGAAGACCCAAAGCAGAGCTTGACCATGGGCAGCCTGTCTCTAAGGAGTGTTTGTGCTCCACAGAGCCTCCCCAGAGGCAGGGGGAGGCAGGAGCCTAGATGGGGACAGTGGTCCCCAGAAGCAGGCTGGCGCTACTCCTGGCATCCCAATTCAGCAGGTCTAATGTTCCCTGGCATTGGCCAAGGACAGCACCTCCATAGGGCTTCCTGTTTTCACCATGACCTACTCCAGAACCTCAAGGTCTTAGTGACCATGAGTCACCAGTTCCAGGCCTCACTGTGGCCCCAAAGCCAGGATTCCCTCCCCCCATCCACTGTAGTATCTGCAGTTCTAGATCCCCCTGGGCCTTCTTTGGGCCCCATGGATGGAGGTGGCTCTGACTGTTCCCTGCCAGAGGGGCCTGACCCTTTAGAGCCACCAGAACAGGAATGTTAATTCCTTTATCAATGCTGAATCCAAGGAAAGGCAAGTGAGCTCTCCCACACCTGCCCAGTTTGTATCTGTTCCTCAGTCTGTTTGATGTTGATTTTTGGTTCAATAAAAACTTGGCAAAGTAAGAATTGCATCTGACGGCTGAGAAGGCGTCTCTAGTCCCATCCCGGTGTGGCTTGAAGTATCGTTGCATTTTTGTGCACCAATGCATGATGGGAGTGGTCCTGAACCATCACTTCATCCCAGGAAAAAGCTCTTGCTATGTGGCTTCTGGAGACATTAAAAACAAACAAACAAACAAACAAACAAACAAACTCTGAGCCAAGTGTGGGCATGCACACCTTTAATCCCAACATGCAGGAGGCAGAGGTGAGTAGATCTCTTGAATCTGACTCTAGACTGCTCTGCATAGCTAATTCCAGACCAGCCCTTGCCATACAGTGAAACCCTGCTGTGATGGCTATTCATGCATGTCAACTTGACTACATCTAGAATTAACTAAAATCCAAGTGGCTGGGTACGCCTTTGAATGATTTCTTAATTAAATCATTTGAAGCAGGAAGACCCATCCTTAATCTGGATTTTTTGAGGTGAGACGATCCACCTTTAATCCGGGCCACATCTTCTGCTGTTGCCTGTATAAAGAACATGGGGGAAGGAAGCTTGCTCTTTGTCCGTTTGCTCTCTCTAGTAAGTCCATTCCCTCAATGACATTAAAGCTGACTTCTCAGGGATTCTGGTGAATCCTGAAGACCAACTGAGACACCCAACCTTGTGGACTGAACTGGATTCTTGTCTTTACATTAGTAGACAGCCATTGTTAGACTAGCTGGGGCTCAGCCTATAAGTCACTCTAATAAATCCCATATATTCATGCTATAAGTTCTGTTCCTCTAGAGAACCCTGACTGATACACTGTCTAAAAACAAATCCAAATTAAGGGGCAGAATCAGTGGTGGGAGAGAAGACAGACTGGGGTTGGAGGAGAGAGAGAGGCAAGGGCAGGTAGAGCTGTGAGGAAAGTTAAAGGAGGGCTCTGTTTTATCATTCACTTAGTCATGGTGTGCACACGCACCCGTGGATGTCAGAGGTCAGAGAAGGTGTTGGCATCTTCCTCCTTCACCGTCCGCTTGAGTGTTTTGAGAAAGGCTCTCTTCTGGAACCAGAAACCCACCATTTTGGCTAGCCAGCCAGCAAGCGTGTGCATTGGCTAGTTGCTATCCCTCTTCCTCTAATGTTAACAGGATCGTAGCCACTGCAGCTCCAGGAGTGGTTTTAAATTTCTGAAGGCAATAATTTTTCTTCTGGATAGGTCAGGGGTTGGTTCAAAACACCATAATATTCCCTAGGAGTCCGTGTCCGTGTGCATCTGTGTATACTGTGTGTCTCAGTATACGTGGGTGACCTCGGGTCTCTCTCTGTATGGGGTCTCTGTTGAAGGTGAATGCTTTCTGCAGGTCCTGCCAACTGCTGGAGACAGCCAGGGTTTAGGCCTGAGAAGACCTTCGGGTCCTTTGAGTGGTATAGAAGTTGACCACTGCTGCCTTGTCTTGGCTCCGGAGTGAGCGGCTCACAGCAACTTTGAGTCTGGGGACTGACTAGCTTCCCCAGACAGATTCACCCAGGACAACTCCCTACGTCCCCAACCCCCACTACTCCTCCCACCCTCCCCTCGCCCCCTCCCCTTTGCTGCAGTTTCCAAAGCATGGTTCATTCTGGAACCCTTCTTTCTACCCCAAGAGCTCTGCGGCTGCCCTACCCCCAGCCAACAGCAGAGGGGGCCCTCTACCTTGGGATGGTGGTCGGGGCTGGCAGGACCGAGTCTGAGCTGGGGGCGGATGAGAGAAAGTGGAAGGATTGGAAGCGGGGAAGGTGGGCTAGGGTGGGTTGTAAGTGGGAGCAACGAGAGTATGCTGGACAGGTGAACCGGGGGAAGAAACGGGGCTCCTGAGGGAACTCCTCGGGTTCAGAGGGCGCAGGATTGCCGCAGCCTCAGCGCTGAATGCAAATGATGCAAATTACTATGCAAACCTGCAGCTCCTCTCGGAGCCGGCAACTTGGGTGGCTTTCCTAACACTGCTGGGGTTGGGGAAACAGCAGCTCAGGTCTCTCCCTGGCTGCGGCTTTCTCCTGAGGAAACGGCAGAGGCATTGGGGGACGAGCTAGCCTCTGCCCACCGCCGGGGCCTGCCCTTAGAGGTTCAGTTTGTCCTTCCATAAGCCGGGGTGCAAACGCGGCCTTCTGACAACTCGCCCCGGGGAGCAGGATATAGATGGACCCCGAAACCCTGTATCCTGTCTCGGGGTAGGGGCTGGGCATATGACCCCCACCCCCACCTTCTGCTCCTAGTTCTCAAGCCCTTTGCTTATCTCTTGATCGGGACCAGAAACGCAGCTTGGCATGACGTTGCTAGGGGGTGTGATCGGCGGTTGCTAGGTTCTAGGAATGTTGCTATGCAACGCCGGGCAGGGCCCGGGTTGCTAGGCCGAGGAGGAGTCGCCCGCTGCCCAAAGGGTTTTAGCGAACTGCGCCCGCCCCCACCAGGACCCGCGTCCGCACCCCCAGGCTGGGCGCAGTCTCCGGGGTTCCTTCCGGTTCACACCCTCTGTCACTCGGTGATCCTCTGGGCTCCAGAGCCAGGAACCCTGGGTCTTTGTACACGTGTCTGTGCGCCTGCTGGTGCGGGGAGGGGAGGGGGGTGAGGGTAGAATGTCTCTTTTGAATTTCCATAGCAACTGCTCCCGTGTCACCCTATTGCTCCCAAAGGTTTAAGCAATTGCGTTGCAAATTTACATATATCTGCATGTCATTAACATAGAGGCGGAGCCGGAACTTGTTTGGGCAACTATCCCTGGACAGTTCCCCTCGCTTTGCTTTCATCCCGTCCGATGGCCACCTGGACTGCGCATGCGTGAGTGTTTTGCGTCCCCGTGTTCTCGGTTTGAGGTGGGTGGGAGACTTTTGACAGTGGGCATCAGCTCTGGTCCACTCACCTTACAGAAACATCCTAACCGGAGACACAGTTACTTAAGCAGCACTGAGACTTGTTGGACCCCAGTTCTGCCTTCTCTGGCTGTGTCGTCTTAGGTTTGTGCCCTTCTCTGTGACTCAGTTTCCTTCTCTGTAAATAGGCGTACTAATCTTTAACTCACTAGGTTATGTGAGGATTCGTGGACTGCAACTTTGGCGCACATTCGTTGATGTCCTGGTGCACACTAGGCAGTGTATGGTTGTTTTCTGCCTCCCTCCTTAGAGCCCAGTTCCACTCAGAACCCAGACATAAAGCAAATGAACTTCCTTTGCAGCTCCAGACATGGCAGGAGGAACCTCCAGATGTCAGGGCAGACCGGATTCCAGGCATGAGATGAGAACTATTGGCCGGACCAGGTTGGTGCACCGCGGACCCTTTCTTCCACTCCACTGCCACTCTCAAGGAGTCCACTGCGTCGGGATCTCTTGTATTCCTGGCACTGGAGTTTAAGGTGGCAGTGGCAGCAGCTAGGTAGCTGAGAGGCTGGACTAAGAGGCCTGTGATGGAGTTGGGGTCAGAGGAACGGAGAGTTTCTGTCCGAGCTTTCACTGAGAGAGGACTGCAGAGCTGTGGGACAACTCCTTTTCCTTCTTGGACCTCGGTTTTCCTACTGAGGACACTTGGGAGTCTCTGCTACAACCTGAGGTGGGGTGGGGGCAGAGAACTGTCTTGTTGCTGTGGCAGTGCAGGGAGTGAGTTCCCCATTCTTGGGACTATGCAAGCAGAAGTGTGGCTGGAACGGAGCAGAACTTTGAGCTGCCTCCTCAAAAGATGGTGGGGGGGTCCTTCCCGAGTCTGATTTCTGCCCTTCCTGTTCTGGTAGAGGCTCTCTTGCTCGACTTCCTTTCTCTCGCAGGGACCTTCTAACCTCAACAGCCTCGACTGCAAGAGCCACATGGAGGCAGACGAGGCATTAAAGGACAAAACCCAGTTCCATTTCATGCTGGGGATAGCTCTTATTAGGCTTAATTAAAATAAATGGGATTGCTTCCTGTCCAGTGTTGAATGTGTGGCTGGCAATGAAGAAGGGCATAGGGGCTTGGCTCTGATGGGTCACTTGGGTTTTGGGAGCAGATAGGGTGGACCATACTCTGTGGCTTTTGTTCTGACTTCTTGTATACAGGACTGCTCTCTGCTGGCAGCAGACCAGCCTCTTCCCTGTAGCCACCTGTGCTCCACAGGTGAGAGTTCCAGGGACAGGCCGAGAAGCTGGCAGTGCCCGGCTGGCCTGCCTGTGTCCCACTCTAGGGGCCAATTAAGTCTCTATCCCTAGCTGCGCCGATTAACAGCTAATAAGGCAGCAAACACCTGCAGCTACGGAGACGAATTAAGAGCAACAGTCGGCATAATACACAACCCGATAAGTGAGCAATTAACAACCGGAGAAAGATTAATAGAAGCAATTATGTCCTACTCAGAGCTCTGTAAATACAACTGTCAACCACTGGGGAATTCAGTCCAGTCTCACCTGGCCCCACCCCGGCCATAGCCTCTGCTGGCAGTGGAGAGAGACACTTGAGCTAGTCTGTAGAGACTGGACCACACAGCCATTGACATATAGGGCACGCCCAGATATGTACACATAGGTATGTATATCCAGGCATATAAAGACATGGCCCACAGGACATAGTTACACAGACGTACCCCAAAAGTAAACCTCACATTCTCACAGATGGAGATGGGTAGACGCAGACATATAGAAATCCTTCCAGAAATACATATAGTCCTGCAGAAAAATGTCTCCCCCCCCGTGTCATGAAGAGACACTCCCATGACACACAGAGCTAGAAATACACAGTATATGCAACACGTAATAACTTAAACATAGACATGTAACACACAGCTTCATATACATGGGGTCATATTTGCATATTATGTTTGCTGTCTCCCGATGGCCACCTTGCTTAGGGTCATCTTATTGGGAGCTAAAGCATGGGAGACGGTGGGTTGAAGGTGGGAAGGGACATGAGGG